CACACACACACACACACACACACACACACACACACACACACACACACACACACACACACAGACACCACACAGGAGACCTGTGCAGTGTTTTTGAAATCTCATTCCCATACAGTATTGGTTTCCCTTGTTCTTCGCTCACACACACTGACTCACACATATGCCTAAGCCTTTAAACAGTACTCCTCTGCTTTCTTTGCCAGGGCATCTTGTGTTTCTGGGAGCGTGGGGGGCAGTGTGCCATTGGCTGTCTAAAGAGGAACTCAACACGGATCTCACAGAACAAACGAGCATCACCGACCACGTTTCTTACTTTTAGGTGTTCATGTGAACCTTAAGCAATTACAAAGATTTGTTAACAATACAGTTTTCCCAAGAAATTGAATCATCTATTAAAACAAATGTAGCGTTATGTGTTGCTTAGACAATGATGCATCTCAGTGCTTATTTTGTGGGATTCAGGGCTCCCTGTGTAGTCTCCCTGGGGCTCCCTGTGTAGTCTCCCTGGGGCTCCCCGTGTAGGCCTCAGTATTAGGAGTAAAAACTCCTAATACTGAGGCCTCTGCTTGTGTAGCATCTGTAACACTGACTATGACTTAAAAGTGCTGTTTTCTTAGGCTGATACTTGAAAGTATTTTTAAATTGACTAAGGTAAAAGGTAAAAAAGATCGACACTGGATTGTCTTTCTGCCTGTTTGGAGGGAGCAAGGATTAACCAGCAATGTGCTCGTTGTAAATGAGAAACAGCTGATGACTTTGATGTTACATGTAGTAAAGACATCATATTGTAGCAGGAAGCTACGACAACTACTACTGAAACGTGAAAGCTGTAATATTTAAGGCTATTTTATGTAACAAAGGAACTGAAAATACATGGAAATAATTGAGCTTCACCACCTGAAACCTAAAAAAAAAAGCATTTAAAAACTAAACGGAACTGAACCGAGCACACAAGGCAAACAAAAAACAAGCTGACGCTACCAAACCAGTAGTTAATAAATCTGCCTGATACATTACTGACCTGTGGCTCCATGTTAAAGCCTGTTTCTGGTTTCTCAGTCTTAATGCTGGAGAGCTTCAGTCCTTCACCAGGTTCTATCTTGATTGCTTTATCCAGGATGCTGTTATCATCCCTGTCCAGGAGATAGCGAAGCAATGCATTGTCCTTCTTTTTGGGGCTCCCTGGCTCCTGTTTTGTGCAGAGTTCACCCAGAGCGGTCATGCTGTCTCCAGAGGCCGACTCTGGACCAATGGGATCTTTTCCGGTTGCCTCAGCTGTTAGTTTGGCCAACTCCACGGGCGAGGTGCTGTTTTGCAGCAACCTGTGAAGAATTTTATGTTTCTCCTTTAAAGAGGTGGAGTGATTGTTATGTCCCACCCCACCTACACCACCAAGCTGGTCCTTACAGAGCTGGTCATCTCCGAAAGCACCCGTTGGTGAGCAGGGATCAGAGGGCTCCAACTTGGTGGTGAGCAGCTGGAGCAGCTTGGTATGGCCTTTGGTGTTCAGAAGTTGGTTTGGCGCATCACTAAGGTCACCCAGACTCTCCCGGTCACCATCTCTTCCCTCCCCCTGATCACCTTCCTGGTTCTGGGATGTCAAAAGGTCTTGCTCCTGAAAAGTTCCAAATAGGTCAACCTCTAAGCTTATATTGTTCTTGGCTTTTTGGCTACCGGGGTTGGAGCTGTGAAGAGGGCTCTGAAGGCCGACTGGTTTTCTGTCAGGGGACTCTGGGTGCTGTCCTTCACTGAGTCCCTGGGAAATCCTGTGGCCCTGGCTGAGAGCCTGCAGTGCGCTAAGAGAGTTAAACCCTTGGTTGGTTCCTGTGCTGCTGCACACAGGGGCTGGCGATCGGAGGCTGGCTGCAGGAGAGAAAGAGCCAGGGGGGTGCTGGGGGAGATGCGGACTACTACAGCTGCTGCTGCTAGCTGGCATGCTGGGGCTCTGGCGATGACGAGGAGACAACATGGCACCTTGGGCCCCTGAGGTGATACTGGGGCTTCCCAAGGCTAAAGGGCTACCCAGCTTTTGTGCATGGCTATTTCCCTGAGGCGTAGGCGCTCGCCCTGACATAGCTCCATAACCACGTCCAAGGTTGCTGGAGGCTGTGGCAGCGTAGTGTGTGTTGCTGGTGACACTGGCGTCAGGAGAAGGAGAAGACACACTCATGCTGGTCGGGGTCATTGGTTTGGCCATAGCCTGACTGGCAGATGTGTCTGCAGTCATGCTGCCGTTTTCCCTGGATGAAAAAGAAGACAGTCAAGAATGAGACCTATTCAGTTATGTGCTGTCAGTATGTAGATATGCAGACTCAGTGTGTATGCTGAGCTGATAAAGCTTGACAAAACATAAGGGATAAAACCTACAAGCCACATGTCACACAGTTATACATAAAAGAGATGAAAATAAAGATTTAACGTGAAGCAGGCTCTATTATAATGATATAAACGTTCAAATAAAATTCTATTATACCACCTACGGTTATTGTGTGCAATCCATCATCCCTGGGAGATTCCACTGACCAACACTTTCTAGTGACCAATGTCTTTTGAATTTTGCACAATGTGTTTGCATTCAAATATAGACCCCTTCCTTCCTGCTGCATGTATTTTTCTTTTCGGAGTGTCATCTTGGGGAGAACTGTTTTCTCGAATGGCTGAAAAGGAAGTCGGTGTGTTGGTGCCTTAGTATCCTGCACCTTGCCCTTTTTCATGTTAAACATTTGCCTGGTGAAGACGTAGTAGAGTTGATATGCTTTTTCTTGAATCACACTCGAATACAGCTTTTGCAGATCAAAAAAAAAATTATATTATTGTATCTTCAAAGATGCCCATTCAATCACATCTTATCCAATTAGATTTGTCAGTGGTGATGGTATAAACAGAAAGGCAACGAACGTTGATTCTGAGTTTCAGAGCCTACAGACTGAGGCATCCGTCTTTTAGTCCAAAGTCCAAAACATTCTGGAATAAGTGATAACGATGTCACATGTAAGGATTAAGTAGAGTACACCATAAAGTAAAACAACCAGAGTAGGTCTGCGAGTATACACAAGTGAGAAAACATCATAGTAACAAGGGACAGAGGGAGTAACTGTAACAGAGGGAGACTTTCAAACATGAATCAGCTTCAGCTCCACCAAACACACAAAGCTCTCATTGTGCTGAATTCTAGTGCAATAATTTTCAATGTGAAACTTGTGGAAGTAAAAAGGGCAAGTTCTCGCCATTGATCCACAAACACTCTGGGTAACAGTCCTGGCATTGTTTTCTGACCACTGTCCAAACCCAGACTTTAAGCATTCATATCAGCACTTGGATGTTGGTAAAGTCGCAATCCTTCCCTGTGGAGGGAAGGAGGAATGAGGGCACTGTGGACTGGACTGGCTGGTAGTTCTCGTGTGACTTTTGGCTTTAACGTACGATGACAACTCTGTATAAGAGACTCTCTGTTTACAATGCAAACTACAGAACCAAATGAGGAAGAAAATGACCAAAATTGCTAGGGAATGTGAAAAAACACAAAAGTACATCTTTTTCTTTAACTAAAATAAGTATGTCACTTTTTCTGGATGGATGAAGGCAATTTGGGGAAAGAATTTGGTTTGAATAAGGAAAAGAGAAACTTGGCACTTGGATGGCGTTAAGTGGCAGCTGCAAGGGTGATCAGAAGATTCATAAACAAGAAATCATATGACTTAACTCCTCAAATCTAAAGGTTTTCTCTGACTGGAGGACAGATATGAAGCTTAATCTGGAAAGACTCTCCCATTCTTGATTTTAGCATTTTGGGTGTCACCATCAGACCTTTTTGGACAAAAAGGTGGAATATCAGCAAGTCTGGTTGCTGGCGTTAGTATCTGTGCATTGCGACGCACAGATACAGATGTTAAGTAACACATTAATGAAGAACAAGAATTCCACTCACCAAAAGAAGAAATGACATACTTGGACAGGACTTTTTCATCTTTAAACCAGCAGAGAGCCAAGCTAACTGCTTTAAAATCCTTCGAAGGGCACTTTTGAGGCCCCAGCAGGCCCGTTGTTGTTTGCTGTGTGAGTATACTGTGTTGCTCTTTTCTCTGTCTTAGGTAACGCCTATCTCTCTGTGGAGCCAGTGAGCAGCACTCAGCAATCAGGCCTGGGAGTACTTAAGCTGGGGAAGATGAGCTTTTCAGGGCAGAGTCCTTTGTCTCTGCAGCATTTGAGTGGTGTGCACAATGCACAGGCACAAACAGAGCAGGTCAAACAAGAGGTCTGGTTCAGAGATTTAATTTGCGGAGATGGAGCAACATGCTTAATGATATAAATTTTAAACCTACAATTTAAACAGGTGATTTATTTTTTAAACGGTCATGCTCCTATTTTTGTTATGAAAGAGGAAATTAGCTATAGAGACCAAAAGTAATTTATGTACCAGATGTACCAATCAAGTATATTTCTACTGTAAATTAGGCTTTAAAGTAGTCATTTGAACAACTGTTCAAGTCTTATGTGTGTGACATAATTGTCACTTGTTCTGACCATATGTTTTTACATTTGGTTGTAGTTACACATTTACTACAACTTGTCAATGTTTTTTTTTGTTGGAATTAGAACAAGATAAACCTTACATTGATTGTCTTAAATCTAAAAGAAATATTTCAGAGCAAGAAACTCAAAATCTTTTGTGTGAAAAATGCAACATATCTTCTTTTCAACAAAACAATAAGTTAATGACACATAAAGGGCACTGGGTCTCGTGTAGTGAAGACAAAAGGAAAAGAAAGAGTGAGTGGTACCTCTGCAGGGCATGGAGGGACATGTATAGCTGTGGTTCATTTGTTGCTGGAGATCGGACCAGTTTGCTCTTAGTGTGCGCTGAGACGATGGTGCCGTCAGCCAGGGAGAATCGGTAAAGAGGGCTGAGCGCATGGCTGTTTCTCAACACTGGGAACCAAAAAAAAAAAAATCAGGTTTCATCATCATATGAATGATAAATACTGAGTAAAACTAGTAGAGGGAATTCATTTCTGGTAACAAAAAAAATACAGAAAAGCGTAGCTGTTGTGGAATGGCGGTGCAGTGGTTAGCAGCATTACCAAAAAAAGTCCTGGGTTCAAATCCAGACTGGGGCCTTTCTGTGTTGTTATTTGTGTGTCTGAAGACGTGCATGGGTCAGGCTATTTGGCGATTCCAAATTGTAGGTGTGAGTGTTAATGGTTGTCTATCTGTATGTTTAGTCCTGTGACTAATTCTGCTAGCATAGTTTAAAGCACCACTGCAACCCAAAATTGGATGAGTACAAATGGACCAATAGTTATAATTTTTGGATATTTATGATAATAAAATGTACCTTTGGCAGAAAATGTTATTTCCTAAGATTTAAACACAGACAACTCAAACTTTCTATTAAGTAAAATGAACATGTCCTGGCTTAAAATGACTCGTTTATGAACCATGAAGACCGTTTTCCGTTGCTTATCCCCACGTACAACCTGGAGCTGTATAAGTGGAAGGAAGCAGATTGATGAATGTGAAGAAAACTGTTTTACCCTCTTGATGGTGCTTTTTAGCGAAGGACATTTCCCCTTCATTCTGCAGGTGGAACCTCTGAATGCACCGTCGAACCAGGTCCTCCCAGCCTGGCTTCATGGATGCCCGCAGCTGACTAGTATCCAGTGACGTGATCTTACCTGAATCGGTAAAATATGACATTGATATTTGCAGATTACTAGTCATGTTTTAGAATATGCATCAATACACATATAGACCCAAAGATGGAAGCGCAACATCTGCAGATTTCACAGATGCAGCCAAAAGATTCTGCCTGCTCTTATTTTCTTCCAACAGAAATAATTTCATCGTTTGCTACCTAAAATTTGCTTTTAGAAGCTATCAACATTTTTGGTGGTGGTCTGATTCCACACCAGCACAGCAATGGTGAAAGCCAGGTATAAATAATGTCTTTGAGTAGGACAGTAGCATCATTTCCAGGCTGACTTGAAGCTGTTTCAGATACTAACAACATATTCTTATTGTATTTTATGCTGGCAAGCTACCACAGATCATACAGCATATTAACTCAAGACCTAGCTCTGCGGATGTACCTTGAAGATCCTGGCGTGTGGTGAAGCTCTCATACGTGGGCATCACAGGTCTCTCTTTGACAGGGGCTCTTCTTGCCACACAGATGAGACATGACTGGAAATCTGCAAAATCGAAAAATAAACAGGTTACATTATAGAATAAGTCCTGCTTCTAATGCAACAGGGACTGCGAATGAAAGGCTCTTATAGCTTTAGCAACCTTCGATAGTGAAGCACCTCAAAATATAATGTAGTCGATACAGCGTCGGTGAATGTGTGAAAAACTGAATGTTATAAACATCTAAAAACTGGAATGTGTTAAACTGTACAGGTGTATGTAATAGTGTGACTCCCAGGTGTATCTTCATCCCCTCGGCTGGGGCATCATACCTCCTACCCACATCATTCTACCAGCCTAGATCGAATACTAAAGCAGCTTCAGCTTTACTCTCAGCCGTTTTGTTAACCCTGTCTGTTCCACAACCCTAACATCAAACACACCCACAGCTTCACCTCAGCACTGAAATCAAACAGGACAACTGTGACCTCACCCCCGACATCGATGTCAGCGCTACTCTCAGTCAGAGTCAATCTACACATCAACCTAAATCTCAGTCTCAACCTGCAGCCTTCACTCCGTCCACCAGATATCCTCCTCTTGACGTGGGAGACACTGGCACAATATCTGGTTGTCAGACATCTAAAATTAGATTGGCAGACAGATTCTTTTCCCTAATGTGCATGTGTGTGTGATTAGATTAGATGGGAAGATGACAAAGTGCCACACACTAATTAGTCTCTTCCAGTGGATGGGAGGGAAAATAGAGAGAAGTGATGATGGAAGGAGGACAGGACACAAGAGACTGGGAGACCCAGGATGGTAAGAGTGATAGGAAAGTGACAGAAAGTCAAGACACAGACTGGGTGGTGGAGAAAAAAAAAAAGGAAATAACAGTGTAAAAGATGTGCACACAAGTGAAAGGGCCAAAGTCACTCTACTACATGGTGAGAAATAACAAAAAACGGGACCAAATCAGCAGAGACAGAAGAAGACATAAAGACGGGGACTGCAAATAGGAAGCGAGGAATAAAGGCATGACAGAGCAAAAATGGAAAATGAACGAGTGAATCTGAGAAAATAAAAGAAGAAAAATAAAAGGACAGAAAAGAGTGACAAAAAACACAAGTATACTGGCATAAGGAGAGACAATACCTTCCCCCTCTTCTCTGATTGACTTGGGTTCAGAGACAGCAAAACACTGCATGGTCTCATACTTCTGCTGCGCCGCCTCCTGCTGATCCGAGGTCAGCCGGGCTTCACCGTCAGCATGAGGGTTGATCAACATGCGACAGTTAAAGGTGTGGCTGTTCCTGTTGGACGAATCGCGATGATTGACTGAGAGACAGGGAGAGATGCCAAAACAAAGAGGAGACATCGTGAGCATGTTAAATTTCCAACATAAACACCGCAGCATCAAACAAATTCGATATAAGATAAAAAAGCTACAAGAAAAGCTCATTTCACAAAGCAGGAAATGCTCCCAACAGTAAGCTACTAGCCACAACCCATTACAAAACATGAAAAATGATCTAAACCAATCACTTTTTCTGCTTTCTATCAACAGAGCAGAGTTGTAAGATAAAAAGAAAGTGAAGATTCTCTCAGTGCTGCCAAAGTCAATAACTTTCTCACCCAGGCTCTTGGGCAGGAGGTTCTTGATGAACTCGGTGTGATCTCCAACATGCAGCACGCTGTAGACGCTGGTGTTCATCAGCTCCTCCTGCTGGTAGCGCAAATACTGGCTGACGTTCTCCGACACAAACACTATGTTGCCTTCCATGTTGACAACAAAGAAGAAGCCGTCCAGGGCCTGAAGGTGGATGTGAAGATGGGATGAAAGAGAGAAAATAGAGAGCCAACAGAAAACATGAAGGGGAAGAAAGGGAAAATGGGAAGAAGACAAGTTGGGAGAGTCTCACGTTACAACTCAGTTAAAGTTTAGATGGATATCTACTACAAATAAATGCTAATATTCTCAAATACCGAGCATGATTCGAGGCACCGCAGCACATCCCAGTGACCGCCGTGTGATTTTCTGTGTATTTTCTCTTTCATTTTCCATCTTAATGCACAGATTATGATTTTTTTTCCTTTAGCACACCCATGTTTACACAAAGGTATCCTGACACCGGTGCAGAATAGAATATAATGGAAAAAAGATGTTGCTTGAATTCTGTTTATCTTACAGACTCCAGGCCGACACCTCGGTGCGCGTTGCTGCTGGTGAACGCTATATATAGCCTGTCTGTATGTGTAGTCAGGCTCCGCCCCTCCTTTTCTAATCTGGCTTTTCACAAAGGTATTTATACCTCACCGGGTCCCATGTTATACGTCGTCACATACCCGTGCATACGCACACTCACACTCAAGTAGGCTGGATGACTGCATTAGAGTTTGTCACAGAAACTCTTATCACTCTGTGTCGCTGCAGGAAGATGCTCTAAATTGTCAACGTACATGAAATATCTGCAGCCATAATGAGGTCAGATCTCCTTTTTTAGCATTTGCATTTTTGCCCTATTTCAACTGCTGTGACGATAGCATCAGAAACCAGTGAGAAGCTCTCATAATCATTGTCACAGTACATAAATTTATGAAGCGCTAGATTAGCGAATTGAAACTATTCACTTGTCCTCAGTTTTGGCAGCAGCAACAAAAGCAGTAATCCTTTTTGGTTTTACCATCGTGCCTAAAAAATAGCTTGTTTTGATTAATACTGATATGACTGTCATGGCTGTCATTTTTCCCCCCAACACATGTATTGTAGCCACAAACTGTTGGTTGAACCCACCTCCAGCATCATGGGCCCAAGAGTGTCTTTATCAATAACACCTTGGCCTGTGGACGACACGTCTGCTTGCTGCACCTCCTCTGCATCGGCCACCGGAGCCTTTTCTGTAACACACATGACAAAATTTCATCTCCGAGTCAAGAAAGATCTTCTTGTTCAATGGTTTCAACGCAAGGCTGTAACGACTTGAGATTTGCAGTCCTCGATGTTACTGTGGGCAAAAAATCGGTAGAAAATCATAGTTATCTTCAGTATACACTTACTGTGACACACCTAATCAATATTAAAAGTATTGATAAGGTAATAACAATAATAAAAAAGACCCTACATTCCTTTACCATCCAACAGGGAACAGATCAAGAAAAAAACTGCACGACACACTTTAAGTTATTTAATGAAGGCATGACTCATTGATGATGGAGCATGTCAGCAGCATCAAAAAGGAAAGCTTGTGTCCAATGAAGCAGCTCACTGTATGTGCATCGGAGAAATATGCTCATTTTCTTGGAAAACTATCTTGTCAGACTGAAGCTTTCACTGTAGCTCTCCCTCTTAGTGGGTATTTTATTTTCACAGAAAACACTGACAGTATTGTTTTTGTGATGATGAAGCCTTCAGGCAAACACACACCCACTCAGAGACTGTGTTTTTTTTATGTACGCCAAGACCTTTCACACATTACATTCTTTGGCTAGTCCTTACTCTAACCTTGTGCTTATATAAACTCTAAACCAATCTTCCAGCAGCACGATCCTGTGTAGGTTTCAGTGGTGGGGATGTCGCGGGCAGCAGGTATCACTACTCTAATGCCTTCTACATTTTACACTTTCGTAGCCATACTAGAGGCCAGTCTCCACTCTCCTCCCTGGTTGTACCACTGGACTGTTAAGCCTCCCATGGCCCCATTAGACCACATAGCTGACATTCCTCTTGTGGGACCGGAGCTGTACAGAGTCATCAGCCTTAAACCCTGTCACAGAGAGCCTGGGGTGGCTCTGCAGTGCACGTTGGAGAGTATTACAATAATACTCAGCATTTTTTTAAAAAATCAATAAATATGTTACACTCCAGTTGACACGATCAATTTATGCACTCAGGTTTGGACCCCAAAGCCCCAATTTGCACGAAGAAGCAAAAGAGTTATTCTGCATACCACTGCCTATAAATTAAGCTTACATAATCAAAATAACTTTCAAGCTAAACATCACAGCAAAAACACTCAATACTAGCAGTCAAACTTGCATATTAACAGCCGTGTACTATACATAATGCAGTTTGCAGTATTGACGAACGCACAGCTCATTAGATCTAAACAGCTTTATTCAAGCCAGCACCTTAAGCAGCAGTTTGAACAATGAGACAACTTCAGCTAAACAAAGCAGGGTGAGAAAAAAATCCATCTCCCATCAAGTGGATGAGATTCCATTTTTCCAAATGAATATAAAATGTCTAATATATGGTTATATATGTTTTACATTAAACAAAGCAGGCTGCAGAAATGTGTCAGAATAGAAAAGAACAGTTTTCTTTATGGAGAGCCATGTATTAAATGCAGAATTTCCAAATATCTTGGTGGACAACGGATGATGATTACACCCTTTTCATTGCTAGTTAACACTCTTTAAAACAAACCCATCCTCTGCACTGGCTTATTTAGCTTAGGAAGCTGAGATTTGAAATAATTAACTGGTTAATTGAGTAACGGACAGGAAATTAAGTGCCAACACAACTGATTGCTTACAGTAAGTCATTACTAAACATAGAGATGGATGTCACCCGCTGGTTAGTGAAATCCCCTTTGTGGAGCCTTAAGCAGAGCGTTGTTTTGTTTTGTTTTTTTGTTTTTGCATCTAAGTGAGAAACCAAGGACACGGCACACTCATATGGTAGTGCACGCTCACTACACAAATACTCATCATCTAGAATTTTACCCTGCAGTAAGTGTAAATATGAGCTGTGAGCCAAAGAACATAAACACACACCTTGTCGCCTGACTATCATGAATGGGTACGTACAATGCTATTTTCTCACCTGTTTGTTTCTGTGAGCTTTCCATCAGGTGACATGTGACGTGTTTTTTTGTCTGAATTCATAACTTTTGTGTGAAATCGACGTCAGCAGTTCAAAAAGATGCAGACAATAGTGGCTCTCTGAAGTTGACCAGGCAGCTGTGTGTATTATCTGTTTGTATGTGTGTGTGCGAGTGCGTGTGCTTATTCAGCTGTTGTTTTCAAATGCAAACTGCGCCATGACACATGGACACCAAGTGGCTGACCACAGGAACTAAAAGAGGAGAGGGGCCATGAGAAAATGAGTAATGAAGCCAGCAAAGATAAGAGATAAAGATATGGGCAAGAGAGAAAAAATGGAAGTACAGAGATAAGACAGAGGCTGTGTAGGAGACATGAAAGATACAACAGGTTAACAGAAAGAGGAAAGGAAAATATAGAAAATAACAGAAGAATAAAAGAGTGTATAAAACAAGACAAACAAAGAAGATAGAAGAAAATACAAGGAAGAAAAAAGGATAAAAAAGAACAGAAATGAAAGGACAAA